TTTCAAATTCCCCAATAATGAAAACCGGCAAAAAAAACAAAGTTTTTTTTGTGCCTTGTCCAAGTTTTTTTTTTCTTTTTTTTCCCACACACCAACCTGCAAACAAAAAACAGAACCACATTTCCATGCACCAACAAAAAACAAAACAAAAACAAACAACAAACACAAAAACACAATTGTTTAAAACCAATTATACTTTAAAAGAATTTGGTTTTTTTGCAAAATATCTCCTTTTTTGCGCATGTTTTTTTTTTTTTTTTTTGAACCAGAATTTTTTCAATGTTATTTTTTTTTTGGCGATTAAGGCTTTTTCTTTTTTTTTTTAAACTTTTGTTTCCTTTTTTTTTAATTGGGAAATTTTTAAGGTTCCTTTTTTTTGAAAAAGAAAAAAATGTTTTCTTCCATTCTAAATTTTTTCCATCACAGGGAAAAAATTTGTTTTTTTTTTTGATTTTTACAAAAGGAAAACAAAAAACAAAAATTAACTTTCCACCTCAAAAGAAACAACCTAAATTTGAAAAAACCTTAAACCCCATATTTTTTTTTTTTTAAAGGTTTGAGAAGAGTAAAATTTTTTTTTTTTTTTTTTTTTTTTTTTTTTTTTTAAAATGTATTTTTAAAAATTAACATTTTTAATTTTTTTTTAACCATAAAAGGTAAAATTCATTTTTTTAAAACAAGTTTTTTTATGAAATTTTGCAATTTTTTTTTTTTTTTCTTTTAATTTTTTTTTTTTAAAAAAATTGAAAAAGGAAAAAAAAAAAATCCCCAAAAACCTCAACAACTTTTTTTTTGTAAAGTGTTAAAAGGTGGATTTTTTTAACTTTGTAAATTTTTAATTTTGGTTCCTAACTTTTTTTTTTGTTTGTTTTTTTTTTTGTTTTTTTGCCCTAATTTGGGTTAAACCTGCCCCCAAACACAAAAAAAAACCGTTAAAAAAAATGATGGTTTGGGAAAACCTTTTTAAAACAAAATAGCAAGCTTTTTTTTTTTTTTTTTTTGGTTAAGTGGAATTTTTTTTTTCTTTTCTAAAATTTAAAATTATAAAAAGTGGGTTTCCCAGCCTTCTTGAAAAGAAAAATTCCAAAAAAAGTTTGGTTTTTTTTTTTCAATAAAGAAAAAGACCCCTCTTTCTTTTTTTTTTCTTTTTTTTTACAAAACAGAATTGAACCCCCAAGCCAAGTTTCAAACAAATTGGGGTTTAAATTAGTTTTGTTAAACTTGTAAATGACAAGTGGAACAAAAACGGTCCAAAAAAAGAACAACACGTTTTTTAAGTGGTTTTTTTTCCAAAAAAACATTTTGGACAATGAAACAAGGGAAGCGCAAAAAGCAAAAAAGTTTTTTTTTTTTTACTCACCTAAAACATTAAAAGGAAGCAAAGGAAAAAAAACTTTTTTGTGGAAAGCTCCCGCCCGTTCCCCCACAGAGTAAAAAAAAACCCCTTTCTCTTTCCTTGCGAAGTAAAAAACTTGTTCTTTCAAGAACCCCAGCGGCCAAAAAACAAAAACTTGTTTCCCCCCTTTTCCCTTTTCCTAATGGCCAAAAAATCCTGTTTAAATAAAATGCCAAATGCAGCTTGTGGAAACACAAATTCAAAAATAACCAAACAACACCTGTGGGGAAAATTTTAACCCTGTGATGTAAAAAAAGAAAATTTTCTTTTTTAAAAATGGTTCCAAGAAGTTCTTTTCTTTTTTTCCATAAAGGAAAATAACCAGCGCCTTTTTTTTAAAAATTTTTTTCAATTTAAAGAACCAAAGAACTGTGATTTTATCTTTTTTTAAAAAAAAACTTTTTCAGAAGAAAGAAATTAAAAACTTAAAACAAAGTGAAATAAAGATTTGGGTAACCAAGAAGTTTTTTTTTTTTTAAATGTGAATTTTTCTCCTTTTGAACAAACCAGTTTTTTTAAAAAGTTCTTTGGTTTTTAAATTTGGTTTTACCAAATGTTGGCCAAACCAGGCCCTTAAAATTTTTTGAAAGGTTAAAAAACCAAAAATGGATTTTTCTAAAAAAGGAAAAACTTAAAATAAAATTCCCTTTTCTTTTTTTTCACAAAACCAAAACGATCCAAAAAAAAAACAAAAGACAAATTTTAAACCCAAAAAAAGAAAAAAGTTTTTTTTTATTTTTTTTATTTTGGAAGAAAAACCCCCGTTTTTTTTTTTAAAACATCTTTTTTTTTTAAATTTTAATATGGCCCCGCCTTTATAAATTTTTTTTTTTTTTTTTTGGGCAAAAAATGGGCAAGCCAGTCCCAAAAAAAGAGACCACCTTGGGTTTTTTAAAAAAATTTTTTTTAAACTCCCCCTTGCCCCAGTTTTAAAATTCTTGTGGGCTTTTTTTTCTGTAATGGAACCCAAAAAGCAAAGGCCGCAAAATTGGGGAAAAAACACACCAAGAAAAACCTTTTTTTTTTTTTTTTTTTTTTTTTTGTTGTTTAATCCTTTTTTTTTGCTTTAAAAAGAATAAAAAGGTTTTTGCTCCCTTTTTTTTTTCTTTTTTTAAAACCTCAAAAAGAGTTGGGTTGGAAAGTTAAAAATGTTTTGAAAAAAAACCCCTTTTGTTTTTGGTTTTTTTTTTTTGTTTTTTTTTTCCTGAAAAAAGGAAAAATTTTTAATTTTAAAAAGTTTTTGGTGGGAAATGTGAAAAAAAAAAACCCTTGCCAATCCTGCCCCTTGTTTTTTTTTTCTTAAACCCAAGTTGTGTTTTTCCCCCAAGGCAAAAATGACCCCTCCCCTGTCCCCCCCCAATTTTTCCTGCCAAAAAAATAATCCACATCAACCCATTTTCCCCCAAGAACTTTTTTTTTGTTTAAAAACCCTCCCCACCTTTCCCCCCCAAAGCCCCTGAAAAAAAAACCTTTTTCAAACAAATAAAATGTTAAAACTTTTCCCCCTGCCCCTGTTTCCCTTGTCCCCCTTTTTTCAAAAAAAAAATTTTTCCAAGCCCACCCATTTTTTTCTTGTTAAGAACTGCCTTTTCTCTTTTAAATTTCTTTGAAAAGAAAGTTGTTTTAAAAGGGTTTTTTTTTGTTTTTTTTTTTTTAAAAATCCAAAGGCCAAAAAGGAAAAAAATAAAATGTTTTGCAAGAGGCGGAGTAGAATAAAATGTTTACATATTTCAGAGTGGGTTTCACACAGCGTTAACCTGAAGGCTTTCACAACAGTTAGAGGAGCATAAACGGAGGTTAGGTCGCTCAGAAAATGTAACGTAACCTTCACGAAAAAACGTAACCTGCTGGTAACGCCGGCAACCTGATTTTCTCTCAGCTGAGGTCCCAAAGCTAACGATAATGCTTTTAGCCAGCATAGCTGACCCTAAAGACATGCTCCAGCGGGCTCCAACTGTGGTTATCTTGGGGATATGTTGTTGTTACAACAGCGTGGAGTTTGCTTTTTAACATTACCTTTCTTTCCAACAGGCTGTTACGGCAAAAACTTTGGTCCCAAGGGATTCGGGTACGGACTTGGAGCCGGGGCGCTGGCGCACACTCAGTAGAGACCACCGGGGCCTCGTTGACAGGTTTCCTGATGATGAATACTCTGTTCATCCTGCAGGGGGCAGACTGCTGCCAGTAAAACATGCACCTGATACACAAACATGCTAGATCAAAAGCCTGCATTATAATAAATTGTACAGTTAAAGATAAAGATAACACCCTCTTAGTCTCATGTAGGCCAAAGGTGTTTTACTAGTGCTAGTTACAGCAAATCCTGACACATAACCAACATGTAATACTAAAAAAAAAAAAGAGCTATCTGTTCAACGCTGCATTTGATTTGCACTCTTCATATTGTGAGGCTGTTGAATGAAATCTCAGCAATAGTCAGTGTAATAGAGCAAGTGCTGCTTGATTGTATGTTATATGCTTTCCAAACAGTATGATAATGAATAAAAATGGAAAGATCATGACTTTAGTGCCAGTTTTTCTTATTTGGTGAACAAATTACACAAGAACATGTAAGTGAAACTGTGTGTGTGTGTGAGGAATAGGGAATAAACTAGTTTGGATGATGACGTTAGTGACGTAAGTTTCACGAAACCACCTGAGTTCATTGTATCCATTCTTCTCATAACATCACAGTGACACATCACAGTGCTGAGACGATGTGTCCAGTATTTTGTAAAGGTTTCACTCCACCCACAATGCTCGCCTGACACATTAGAGCCATGTTGCTGTCAGGGATGTGAAGACTGACAAAAAGGTTGTTTTTTTAAAATGCCATAATTTAGGAGGTTATTATAGTACAATGAAGTGAAACCTCAGACAAATCAGAAGGGCTTTGGAGTTTGTTGTGAAAAATCTAACCAGTTTCTCCACTAAAAAACATTCAGTTCCCTTTTACTGGTTTCAAAATGCCTGCTATTATTTCAGGATGAGTAAATGTTGTTTATATATAGCCTAGCCTATACTTATAATGTATAAAATATCAGAACTGGAACTATTTGTTAAAAAATAATTAAATGAAATAGTTTCCAAAATAAAAAGTAATTGACTGATTAGCCGTTTGTTTCTATCTGCTCAAAAAAAAAAAAACATTTCTTTCTTGCACTGTTTGTCTCTCACACTCACATATTACAACATTTGACTTCTTTATCCACCCTTTGCCTCCCACTCACATTCCAGCTCTCAACCAAGAGACAAGTGAAAGCAGCTTGTCATAAACACCTTTTCTGGAACATGAAAGAAAAGCTAACTGATTAAACTAACTTCTTTCTTTCTTTAAGGAATTTACACTGACAGGTGTGTGCCAGGTTTTCCTAAACAGGTGCACTGTGACATAACACAGGTGATAGGTGGCTAAACCCACCTACCTGTGTTTCTGAACACACAAACAACGCACAGAGTACTGTGAAATCCAACTGTCTATACTTGCACTCACTGACTCACATTCTTCGCGCACACACACACACACACACACACACACACAGAGGCAGGGAATCTTATAAACAGCCCGGATCTCCTCCTGCCGTCACCAGGAGGAGGCGGGGTGCTAGTTGAAGGGGGGAGAAGGTCCACGGAGGAGCGGGGCATGTTCAAACATATCCAGGCAGACCAGCCTACCAACATCCACGGCGTGCTGTGCTGTCATTGCGCACAGGTTGGATTAATACACAGGCTCTATGAGAGTTTTTTGAATTACTATTATTACTAATTCCACAGCTCGAACCGATATGTTTTCCTGAGGTACACTCGACACCGGTACAGTAACATATGAGATGTGTATTTAATGGATTTATCTTGAGACGCGCCGCTGCCGAAGACTTTGTAAGTTTCGGTTCTGTCTGGGAAAACTTGGGCTCAGCGTGGCCATGTCTCTCCCTGTCAAAGTGATGAGGGACGGACTGCTGGAGAAGCGCAGCAGCGGGCTCCTCCAGCTGTGGAAGAAGAAGCGCTGCGTGCTCACTGAGGAAGGACTGCGCCTGCACAACTGCAAAGGCGGCGGCGGTGGTGATGCTCCGAGCTCGGCGTGGAGCTCCAAAGCCAAGGAGCTCCGCTTTGATCGCATGGCCACGGTGGACTGCGTGGAGTACAAGCGAGGGCTGGTGTACTTCACGGTGGTGATGGCTACGGGGAAAGAGATTGACTTTAGGTGTGCGCAGGAAGGCACGGCGTGGAACGCGGAGATCGCTCTGGCACTGGTGCGCTACAAGAACCTGCAGGCCGTGCAAACGGGACGGAACAGGCACCTGTCCACTGCACACCTGGGCAGCACTGGGGAGGATGAGGAGCTCTGACATGGTACAGGTAAACCTTTAAATAGGCTAGAAATAGGCAGGGGGCTGTCATCAAAATAAGCAAATAGGTTTGAGCTTACTACTTAATCCAAATATATTTTGTGTTTGGGTAACAGTGAGGCTTTACACCCTTCCATAACTGGAAGGTTTCAGGTTAATTCCCATTAACTGTGTGTGTCTGAGATTGAAAGTCAAAGCATCACTTAAACACCTCAATGGTAAAGGTATACATGTCTTTTTTTTCCTCCCAGCCAGATAATCTCAACCATTTGCCACCCAATCAGTGCAGCCACTGACTTTCATTGATAATCTCCCCCTCTGTGGTTGAAAGGGTGCTAATAGTAACTAGTTGGAGCAGTGATTGGATGGAATGAAAACATCCAGACTCGTGGGGATGAGGTGGCACATGACTGAGAAGCACTCAAGCCTCACGCTAAGCTTGTGCTGAAGATTATTTACAAGTACCACTTCAGTGTTTACATGTTCCTCGGTGGAGTGAAAGTCAGTTTTTCCTTACCGTGGTCATTGGCCTTTAACACGCCATAGTCCAACACAAACCTACTCTCACTTGAGGACATAATTACGATGCAATGTGAGCCTCCAAAATAACATCTGCCTGCCTCTCCCTCACGAGGAAGCCAAGTATTTTTAAACACACACACACACATAAACATACAGCCTTCTCTTATGTATTTGACAGACATAAATACAACGGAACATTTGGGATGACCAGAACCATACATTTTTTTCAGCTTTTCCACATTTGAGGAGACAATCAGTGCCATCATACTGGAACTGCTCACTGAAATCTCCAATGTTCATGAACTGAGTGTGTAAGTCTGAACTATGAGCTCACAGTCCAGGAATCCACAGCGATGCTTCCTTAAGAGAGCTGCAGTAGTCAAGTGCCCAAATTAGCTTAGTAGCCGTGGTAACAGTGTAACGTAACTCACTACAAATGCACTTTGTAGGACACCATCGGCTGCCCCCAGTGTCAAATATATAAATGAACAATTGAACATCAAAAATCTGCTCCTCTTTCTCCAGCCTTTACTTCTTGGGAGTGAACCAATCGGAGTGGACAAGGGTACAGGACACCAGATCCGTCGGCTCGATTCTGTGGTGCACAGCATGATGGGATGTACGGAACGGCCTTCAACGAATATGGATTAAAGGACTGAGACCAAGTGTCACAGACACACTTCTTGTCTTCCTACACAAGCTTATTCACGCTGTCATATAAAAAGCATAGGAATCTGATATACTCTATAAGCATGGATGATTTTTTTTCTGTGACCTCACTGTTCGAGGTCACTGTGGCAACCGCTGCGAAAGGAAAAGATGGCGTTATTTGGACAGAGAGGGAGGAGCTAGGACACTTTACCCGTTGTGCCTTAATGTTTCAAAGATATTTTCTATTTTGGACATTATTCCTGACATTTTCTAGTCTTACTGAAACAGGAGTCACTTTGTTTCTTCAGTCTTGCTTTTGATGGAAACACATTGCTGTTTGACTGGTTTTGAAAACTTTTCTTATAGACTGAACAGATCAGCATGTTTTTTCTAAAACTGAAGATGAAGAATATCTATTTTGCTCATATTCATTGCACATTGTATTCTATATATTTGCTGAAACCATGTACAGTATTAAAAAGATCAAATAAATGTATGTCAGTAATCCTGAAGTGCTGACATATTTTTCTCTTGAGTTTTTATTTTTGAACAATGCTTCAGTTCTCTACACTGTAACATATATTATCTCTTAGAGCCAAACAGTCAGCTGCAATTTATTTTAGGTTCAGACCATTAATTGCTAAGCTCATCTGTTTCCAGTTGTGGCGTAACCTTGCTGTTATAGCCTCTGGAAAATACACACACCCCAGACACATAGACACAGACACACTCTGTGATTTGCTCTCCTGCTCTTGCGTGTATGCTGAAGTCAGAACACCTTTTGTTCTGAGCAGTGTGCACTAATGAGAAGCACCGTGAGCCCGAGGCATGTGCACACAAACATCCACCCACACGCATTCACCTACAGAAGCTTACGTGCACACCCAGCATGAAATTCAGCAAGGCCTCAGCATCAGCAGACTCTCGTTAGTGAGGCCTTGCATATATTGTTCATTCAAGCATCTTTTGTGTGTGTCAAGAATATAGCAGTCTGTGTGTGCGGCTGTGGGGCTCAATGCAGGTCAGGAATAAAGGGCCGATTGTGTAGCGACTTCTCTCATTACTGTGGAAAACCCCAAAGCTAGCCACACCGCATGAGTCAGCAAAGGACCAGGAGCACTGCAAGCGGCGGAGACACCCAGTGAGGGATCATTGGTTTTAACTTTGTATGTGTGAGTGTGTGTGGGCAGATGTAAATACGCAGAATACTGTATGTGATGGATCTGTGGTGGAGTGAGTGTGTGGTTTAGTGGTGGTTGTGTGCAATAAGTCCTAAATCCAGTCTCTTCAGAGTGTGTGTGTTCACACTACTCAGTGGAATGCCCTGTCTAAACATCATAACCTCTGTCCAGGGTATCTGGTTTTCTTAGCAGATAAACAGACACAGTGAATTTCATAAACCAAATCCTAGAACAGGGGCCGATATAGAGTTCAGTGATTGTTAGTCATAACAACACTGACAATGCATGTGTGTACATACTTCTTTAAACAAAGACTCAAGATTACTCTTTAAACTTTTATACATGTCACATCTTTCTTCTCAGGCCTTCGCAAATGGAGCTGCTGTCTGCAGTGTGAGTGTCAAACCACTAGAGGTCTGTCTCTCTCCTGTTCACTGTTGTTTGGCTGTGTGTGTGTGTGAGAGAGAGTGAGACTTGACTGTAGTTTTTTGCTAGTTCCTCTTGTAGTGCAGGCTGCTGTTTCTTTTTTGATTAATATCTTCTGTCTTGTGTATCTAATATGTTTGTGTGTGTTATATTCTTTTCATTCCTCCATCACACACTTTACCTCCTCACAGGTACATACTGTATAAACCTGAAATACCATATCACAGTGTGAATTATGTCATACTTTCTTATTTGTCTTTCTTGTAGAGGGTTATGTGAGCATTTTAAATTTCTATATGCAACATTCTCACAACATCCTTCTGGCATGTTTAAAGCAATGTATCTTAGCTTGAATCTAAAGAGGCTAAAGGAAAAAAAAAAAACTGCCATGGGAATTTGAGACAAAACAATCTTCAGAAAAAGAACCCAGCAGTGAAATAAATTATTGATTTGGAATGTGTAGAAATTACATTTGTATTGCTCAAATTGTATGTCTGTCTTTTAAAAACTGATAAGGTTTAGGATTCAAGAACCAGGTCACACTGTCATATTTATTGATTAATGTATATGTGAATCTGTGTAAAAATAAATTCCAGTAGGGATTGATCCCTACACGCTTGGAAGGCGAGCAAATGTTATTAAGTTATTCAATTGGTTGCAATCTGCAAGGTAGCCACTAGAGGCCCCTAAATCCTAATCACTGGTCCTTTAAAGATGACATGACATAAGTGTGGATGTGAGACAACCGTTTTGCACTTGCATGTAGTAGAAATGATTACAGGCTTTTTGTGGTGCTAGCTTGACGTTACTCCAAAAATGTTAGCTCCAAGTCATTGTTCATACTCCTTTAGGTGTGTCATCATATTAAATCCATAAATTCTGTTTATCACCAGCTTTTCAACAAACTTAAATATTCCACCTTTCAGACAACAATGATGTTATTCAACTTCAACTCATGGTCGAATGTCCTTCCAGGTCTTAGGTCGGTTTGACCCCTCTGTTTACAAGTATTACTGAGGGAAACACACCTGTTACAGCATTAGAAAACGTAATAACTGTAATTTAATTGAGACTTGGAAGTATTAGCAAGTGCAAATTCTGTGTTCTGAGTTTTGGTACTCATTTGGTCACTCACGGTCATTTTCTTTTGGGTTACAGATGGTTTTGTTTGTCAAGAACTTCTGTCTGCGAGGCTTAAGACAAGGCAAAAATTTCTGAAGGGCCTCCCTGCAAGCATGTCTAGCATTTTGATTTGCCCTTCGAGGTTTAGGTGTGGATAAACATGACTGAGTGTCTACAGCCATGCCAGCAGCTCTCTAAAGCTGTACTTGGGCACAACAATATTTTGACCTAAATATTAATGTCAGCATGCTATTATTCTCACATGACAATGTTAATTGCTAGTATAATGTTTGCTGTTTTAACCATCTTAATTTAGCATGTTAGTGTCCTAACATTTGCCAATTATTATTAACACAAAGTAAACAGCTGAGGCTGATGGAAATGTCTTTAGTGTTGGCTGTACTAAGGCACTGCATGTGGCATGTCTTGTAGTAGCAATCCATTTATGCTATCAGATGTCAAGGTATTTCATTAAACAACAAAAATATAGACCTCAAGTTGGCTGTTCAACAGCACAAAGGACTTGTGTCATTACACAACAGGTTTTGTCACTTTCTCTTGCAGCACAATTTTTTCCAGAATCTTTCAAGTCTTTTAACAATCAGTACTATACTACAAACTGTTCTAAACAAAACCACAATATTCACTAACCCTCACTACTTGACATGGTAGTCAGAGTATTGGAGCAAGATTAGAAGGTCTGTGAAGACCAAAGTGTTTTCTAAATTGAATTAATATTTTGAGAGAGTTAGTCACAACTCTATTGGTGTTAAATGTGGAAGGCAGGGGGAGCAGGGAGGATTGTAAAATTTGTGAGGCTGCCTTTTCAAAAGGAACCCAAGCAGGTAGATAGCCAGTATTATTTACTGCTCATTCTATATGGGAATTTTATCAATGTTTGCCCCTGTTGTGGAGGCGTGGCGCTGCCTGTGTGGCTGATCTGACATAGCTGTACATGGTCACTGCTGCTTGTTATGTAAAGTTTTTTGAATTGCAATGAATTGAATCCATACACGTTTCTTTCCACAAAGGAATTTGGATACTCTTTTTGTCTAATTTAAAACAGGAATGTGCTAAAAATATATAAGAACTTGGGTAGGACAATCATTTTAAGCTTATTCGACCTGTCAATAACAAGGGCATAGAAGACTAGCAATCAAAATCTTCTTTTACTTTTTTTTTTTTTTTTACCATTTTGTAACACTTTTTAATTTAGTTTCAATTCCCTTCAAAGACCATGACCATATAAACATAAACTCCCGCCTATAGTTTATTATCTGAGTTGCCGTTATCATCCTGTGTCGTGCAAGGCCAAAGCTCCAACTGCTGGCCCCTGGTTTGTAATGAATCTGTGAGAGACAAATGGACAGAGCAAGATTAGGCAGAGATGGGATTGACTAATAATAGCGTCCACTAACAAAAGAGAAGGAGAGAGTGAGACAATTGGGGGTGCAGTTAAATAGAGGAACGCCATATTGTTGGCTGCATCGCTGATTTGTCCATCCTGCCTCTGCTGTTGTCGGATCTCTCTCCTGCTTCTGACACTGGTAAGGTCCTTTCATGGTGTGGTCGGTAAAGATTTTAAGTTGTGATGTTAGGGTTAGGCCTATTTCTTTGTTCTCTGCATATATGGTACGGAAACTAAATGGGTTACAGTTTGAATAGATATAAATTTGTCTGGTACAACCATTTATTTGTTGAAAATTTGCCTCACAGACTTCCTAGACTTCCAAATTTTCAAACGATTCAGGATCTAATGGTTTATAGGTTGATGGGGATATTAGTAGAATTTAAAAGTGAGAGCTTAAAAGTGTCTTTTTGTTGGTAGCCTGGTTTCATCATTGGGTCTGTGGCTGCATCTAAACCATAAGTACATTAGCCAGAATACTCTGCAGATGATCAGTTGAAATAATACAAACTAGCTAACTTTAAATCTGTTCAAATCCGAGGCTGACGTGAACTTTCCAAAGCACCTTGGGTTGCTTTTTGAACTGCCAAGTTGGCTGCACCACAGAGGCTCATAATCATCCATGAGTTACTGGTGGTAAACCCCTGATCCAGACTGGGCACCCCAGAACACAATCACCCTCTACAGCTGTCTCTCAGATGTCCCCTGGTCTATTTGGGGAGACAAACCACTCTAAATTCCTCTCCCTGAGATAATCCAGAGGAGAAATATGGGGATGAGAGACGGGAGAGATGGCTATCAGTCAGGAATTTTCCTAATCCGCTGGAGCAGCCTGTAACCCCATCATGCTGGGAGGTCTTAGGTGGTGTCATTCTTAACTGAAACCAAATAGTAAAATGGGAGAGGGATATAAAGAGAGAGAAAGGTTGAGCTAAGGTGAGACAGACAAGGTGTGAGTGCTGTAAATCTGTTGTTGATTTGATAAAGGGCAGAAGGCCATAAGACTGAGAGAGAGGAGGGGTAAGCTAATGTGATGACAAGAGTGAAAACAATATTGTAGGCAACAGCTGACAAGATGAGTTGTGTGACTCACAAAGTTTCACCTTATGCCTTACGTATTTTACATTTGGTAGACAATATTTCCCCAAAAAACTGTCTACAGTGAGGTCTGAATTTTTGATGCAGCAAGAACAAAATACCACCTCTATAGGGTGGATTTGCATACTGGCTAACTACTTTTTATGTAGCCTTAAGTGGTGTTAAGGTGTTACAGCCGACTCAGCATTTATTTATTTTAACTTTGGTTGTAATATTTATTTTTTCAAATGAACTGAGCTACTCCACAATCCTTTCCAGTACCCACAAGTTCTCTCTGTAACAAGAAAACCACTCATGTGATTTTTCTCCAATAATGCTTTTTGGAAAGTATTATTAAAGCCATGACAAGTATAGGACACACTTCTATTAGGTATTGCAATTAAGTGTCAAGAGAGTGTTAACAAGCAGGAGGGTAGAAGTCAGTTTGTAGAGTTTCGTATGATTGGCCTGTTGACAGCTTACATACGCAGAAATGGACCCACATTCTGAGAGAGTGCTCATAAAGAAGAATAGAAAGTTGATCTGGCTGGCCCCCCAAAAGCTGATGAACAAACAACTGTTCAGTGGGTGTGTGTGTATCTTTCTAATCTCTTATGTCTCTCTTCCAGTGAGATCTCATCAGCAGGATGCCTGAGCATGTGTGAGTGATGAGGCTTTGTCTCCCTATTATAGACCATTTACGCATTTACGCATACACACACACACACACACACACAACAAATATTCCTGAACTTACAAATTATATTCGGTCTTTCCTGTCTTTTAAATCTTTTCATTTTTGTTTCACAGGCAAGAGGTAAGACAATTTTTTTATCATATATTTTTACAAAGGTATTGCTAATTCCTAAAATATTCCACAGAAAACAATTCAGATGACATTTTAAGTTGCAAGTGAAGTTCTAACATTTGAAATGTGTTGTGAATGTCCTGACTTATCTTCTCCATCCAGAGGAAACCAAAGATCTCAGCTTCAAGGAAGCTGATGCTCAAGGTAAGAGAGATCATGCACCTAACTTTAATGTAATTAATGTGTTTAACCACAGGAGAGCAGCAGAGGTCATGTTCTGTGTATTGTTGTACAGTATCCTGGGTCTATACTGTGACCTGAACGTTTGGCCTCGTATGTAAAAAAACAAAAAAACAAAAAAAACACGTAAGCATGATGTGCTGTACTAGAGCAGTGTAAGAGCATCCTGTTTTATTGTATTATATCTCAATTCTTATTTGTACAGAGCCTGATGGTTGCAAAGGCCAAAGAGGAATTGGAACAAGAGATCCTAGTTAAAGAGGAGGAGAAAGAGAAGTATCTTGCAGAGAAAGCTCCTCCTCTAAACACCAGCAGCCTGAGCCTTGCACAGTTACAGGTAACTGGTCCTCAAATTCCCCGAATGCTCCTACGTCCTTCCTTCTCTTCACTCCCTCCACTTGCTTCTCAGTAACCTAAAACCTGTAAACCCTGCTAAAGAAGCTGCTTCTCCCCTTCAGCAAGGCTAATGTTGTCAGCCCAGGCTAAAATAATCCTTTCTTCAACCTGGCTTTTTTTTGTGAACTTTGCCACACTCAGCCAAAAAATCTTTTTTTTTTTTTTTTTTAAGTTATTTTTTTGGCCTTTTCATGTCTTTATTGCATAGAACAGCTGACAGACAGGGTCCTCATAGGTAAGATAAAATGCCTGAATTTGTGTCAAAACAGGAAATGAAAAGAAGCTGGGTTACACTGAAAAGTCACTTCCATAAAATACCAAATTTTCAACCTTTGTGTGTATGTTTTTTGTGTATAGAACCTCTGCAGAGAGCTCCATGAAAAGGTAGATGTGGTGGATGAGGAGAGATATGACATTGAAGCCAAAGTCATGCTCAACACACGTGAGGTATACATTACTTCCTCAGCCCATTTCCATGTGTCACCATGAGAAAATCCTGCAGAACTAATGGTAATTGCCGCTCAATTCTCAATCCCTGGTCCAGATTAAAGACCTGAACATCAAGGTGTTAGACCTCAGGGGGAAATTCAAGAGGCCTAATCTTCGACGTGTTCGTGTGTCTGCTGACGCTATCCTTCGCTCGCTGCTGGGCTCCAAGCACAAAGTCTCTATGGATCTCCGGGCCAACCTCAAGTCTGTAAAGAAAGAGGACACTGAGAAGGTGTGTGCATATACACACAGAACACAATCAAACCAGCCCAAGAAAGATGTGTGCCTTTCTCAGGGCAAGCTTGCAAGGTAGCTACTGTGAAGTTTCAGATACACACATGACGTCAGCGCTACTGAACACCTGAAAAGTGTGTTTATGTGTGTGTGAAGGGTGTGTTTGAGATACCGAGCAGTAGGGCCAGCACAGGGCGGCGACCATGTGTGTGTGAGAGGAGGTAAGGCACACAAGACAAAGATACCATTGTACACAGAAGAGAAGATTTTGTGACCAGTTCTGCTCACTGGCCACTGCGTGTCTGTGTGTGTGTGTGTGTGTGTACGTACATGCGCAGATTAGCAGGTGCTGGTGTGTATCATCTGTGTGTGCTCGCATGGATGGATGTGTCTCTGAATGTATTAGGTGGTGTAAACCAGTTATACTAGTACAGTTATACAGTATTCTCACAGGGGATTCACAGGTGACATCATGGGTCTCAAAGGCTCAGAAACAAACAATAATGATAATAAGATTTTCTGATCCTGCTCTACTTCACAGTCTCTTTAAGAAGACAACAAAATCTGCTCTCATTCTTTCATACCAACTGTTACACCCTATGTCTTCTGTATCTATGTGCAGAAGAGGCCAGTGGAGGACAGTGACTGGAGGAAGAATGTGGAGGCCATGTCAGGGATGGAGGGAAGGAAGAAGATGTTCGATGCTGCTAAGGGTCCTGCCCAGTGAACCCACAGGTGTCATCACTCCTCCTGCATCTGAATTGGTTTCGTTTTCCCACAGTCTATTGAGCTTTTGCATTTCCAGTTAATACTGTTATTCTTGCGTATGCTCCTGCGATGGAGGTGAGAAGATACCCCCACTTTCCCAAAGAGTTTTCTTCACTTTCCTTAAAGGTCCAGTTTGTAACATTTAGGAGGATCTATTTAAACCAATCACTGGCTCTGGTCTTTAGCGTTTTTCACGGCCACCACAATTTCCCTCACACACTTGGAAGGCGAGTGGTATTTAGTTAGTTGCAATCTGAAACTTCGCCTCTAGATCTCACTAAATCCCACACACACTGGTCCTTTAAGAACTGTTTTGTTTACTGCTCGTTGATATGCTGTTAAAAATTACTTTATCTATGTGCCACGTGCTATTATTTGTATTGTTCTCATAACTGATATTGCACCTGAAGCCCAGAGATTTAGGCTTATATTTGTATAGCTATGTAAAAAAAAATGCAGCTTGTATTTCCAGATATTGTAACTTAACCAGCACGCCAAATGATATTATAGACAATAATATGACCTATCCAAAATTAAATTGCCTTTTTGATATTCTTGCTTGATGTTTTTATGAACTTTAACAAAGTGATTTGTACGTCATCAGCTGACGCAACAATAAAACACATTTAATCAATCTAATTTCTTTGTGCTGTTTTTCTGAGCAAATGTATGATCAATGAACAATGGTTTTATTTGAATGAATAAAGAGGAATCTTCACTTCACTTAGGTAATAGTCTTCTTGTTACAGATGGTGAGAGGACTAAGCACCACATCAAACATGATTTTTCTTTTCCAGATTGGGATCAAATGTGATCAAATTGTTCAGCCATATAGCTGTTAAAAAACACCTTAAATAATTTAAGGTTGCACAGCCTCTTGTTTTCTTAACCAAGAGGCTTGGATCTCGGAACGGCACTCTCTGTCTGACTGTTAAATTGATTGCCATGACATTTTGTTGATTCATATCACATTCTGGGTTAATTGTCATTTTGGTCATCCGGTAACTTTTCATCAAAAATACTTTGGTTTATGACCATACACCTGCTTTACTGACATCTTAAATGACATCTTCATCAGCCTGAGCTGTACTTTGTTTTTGGTGCTAATTAGCAAATGTCCAAAAGCACAGCCCAATGAGCTGCTAGCATGTCTGAAAACTATTAGCATTGCTTTATATTAGAGGAATGCAGAAGGAACATATGGACAAACAGGAACTCAGACACCAAGAATTGTACCTCTAACATGGAGGCACCTCTGCACGAGAGCACATTTCATCTGATATGCTTATGTCTGCCAGCTGTCTTCTTTAGCTGTCTGTTTTGCATGCTCATAAAGCACCCTCTGAAAAGTGCTTCTGTAATGGTACTTTAATCATTATCACCTTATCCAAGTGGATGCAAAGAGCCTGAGGCAGTCAGGTGACACCAAATACAGTTTTCCCTTATGGCATTGTAAAGCAAATGAACACTGCAGCAACCCTGAAAAACAGTCTTCAGTGTTTAGAATGACAGGGTGCTGCTGCATGCGTCTTTGGCCAGGGAGTAACATGCAAACTAGTTCCATAAGATATCATCTTAATGGTATGAGCTATAAGCCAGCCTTCACCAAATATGAGTGAAGTGGGCTCACGTTAGCTCAAACACACAAAAAGGAGGGATCTGGATGAGCATGAAGCTATTTTACCTGTAATCATAATAATAGGTCACCCTGTTTATCGTGGCCTCCCTTTCTGCACAGAATGAAGCAGGTGTAGGGTACAAAGCCAGGTGAGGTGGAGGGTGTGTTAGTTGGACTGAGCCTGGGTCAGAGTCCGACAGACTGGGCTCCAGGGAAAGGTGTGGCCTCACACAGCCAGAGCAAACAGTCTGACTCACACTGTAAATAAACTCACTGCCCAGTGCATCAAAACCCAGTCGGACATGCATTAAAAACAGTTACATGTATTTTTATTTATTTTTTTACTATCAGACCAATTCAGAAAACATTTTATTAAAATTAAAATGATTATTTTCACTGATGATATTCTATTTTATGTTAAAACCTATTTTGTTGTTCTTATGCCTTATCCTGTCAGTTTAATTTCTTCGCTTTTCTGACGTTTTCTTCTGCTTTTTTTTTACTCAACAATTAATGAGAGATTGTTAATTTATTGCTAATTTATTGCTGAGTAGGCAATACGGCAATGAACTATTCCATCAATCTTTCTGGTTGTTACAAAGGAGTGACTGTTACAAGCTATCATAACTTCCACATTTCCACCATACATGGAATATCTCGCTCTCTCTTTCTCTCTTTCTCTCTCTCCCTCTCTGTCTCTCTCTCTCGCTCTCCCAGGTGGGTAGCTTACCTTTGTGGTCACGTGACGCCTCAGTGCACCGCACCGGGGTAAAGGTGGACTGCATTGTGCCGCACCGACTGTAATTTCACTGCCGCCCTCAGAGTGCCATTCAGTCGACTCTTCCCTGTCTGTGAGCGAAGTGCGCCTGGGAACTTTACATTTATTCGTCCAATTATGTCCATCAGTCGGAAGAACTGGTCGGCTTTGTCCAGGTAAGATTGTATCCGGAGAATATGACACCTGTGTTTGAGAGCACCATCCTGCAGCTGTTGCTTTTTGACAGGAGATGTTATATAGTCTTACTTTGTTCACTGAATCAGCATAAAAAGCAGCTCTTTTGGCTTCACTCTTGCAGCCAATCAGCTTAATAAATAAAATAAATGTATTCATTTAGGGACTTCATAATATCTGTAGGCTATCTAATATCTGAGCCTACAGTAACCTTATGAAACAATGCAATTTCCTGTCTCCTTTGGTGTTATTATTTGTGCAGACCTTTGCTGTGATGTTTGAATGATATGCTGTAACGTCTAGAAATAACCAGAAGAGTTGTGCGTCTTAACTTGAATATTTGTGTTTGTCCAGAGGGGACATCGGCCCCCTGCTGCACCAATACACTAATAATGTGTGTTATACACACACCATGCAGAACGCTAAACTGAATGGTTGATTTAAAGCTTGCTCAGACAAACAAACTGTAACTCTACTCAAAAACCGTTGATAAACAAGTAAAGCAGGTTCTGTGTAACTGTTATTACTGCACTCAAATAAAAAGCAACCAAAACAAGCAGAGAACTGCCTTCATTTCTTCTGTATTTTCATTTTTATGAGGCCCTGTCTCTGCCTCTGTTTCATTTTCTGTTTTACGCACCCATGTTCTACATTACGACTCTGTCCCCAGCCTAGCGCGCCAGTGGACGATGGAGGATGAGGAGGAGGTGGAAAGGGAGAAGAGGAGGAGGGTGAAGAGCTCAAGCGGCACCGCTGACCCCGATGCTGACCTCAGCCAGTCACCCAGAGACACGCCCACCAGTGACAGCACCTTCGGGACAGACTCCACAAGTGAAACGTCCCAGGGGCTCAGCAGGTTATTCTCACGATTTGTAAAGAATAATTTATCGTTTTGTGCTTGCCAAAGCTTGATTTATAGACTGTCTGACATGACTCTGTTGCTGTAGGTGTGTGCTCTGCTCTTCTTCACTCTGCTTCTATACTGTTTATTATTTAGGCTACTATTCTGTCTTTCATTTTCTATATCTTTCTTTTTCTCTGTTTTTCTTGTATCCTATGTAAGATGGCCATATGGATGCTAGTATGTAGGAATCCATCTTCTTTGATGGTACACCTTTTTTAGTGGATGGATTTCAGACGCAGAGAGAGAGGATTCTTACACTTTTGTCCCTTGGGAGTGTGTCGTATAGGCCTATATACTTTTCAAACACATTAAAAAAACCTGATGGAAAGTATAAAAAGCTGTCAAAAACACCACCAGCTGAGTATCTGGAGCAGAAGTAGTCTTCAAAGAGAGAAGAACTGTAGTCTTTCATTAGAGAAATGTAATCAGACACAGAACTGACTGATCCTTTCTCCCCTCACTAGAGTCTGTCCATCATACATATTGGTAATTCATGTGATGTGTGTTATTTATTTTCAGTGCTGAGCAGTTGCAGCTGGACTTTGTGGAGATGCTGCGTGTCCGTGATGAAAAGCGAAGGATGAGGCACGTGGAGACGCTGAGACGACAGAAGGAGGTAGGGGAAGAGGAAGCAGAGGCCAGCGGAGGAGGAGGAGGGGTCCGGCTGGAGCTTCTGGGGGACATGGATGAGGACCAGAGTAGCGGGTCACCTTCTGTGAAAGCCACATCCAAACCACAACCACCCCTAAAAACAGCCTCTTACAGTCCCACCACCAGCAGCAGCCCCAGCAATACGAGTACTAACGTCACAAACAGAAAAGTAAGATGTAGTCACTTGTTACCTTTCAACAGAGTGAAAGAAATACTATATCAAGAATGTTGTCATTTGACTTGACCACGTTCACCATCTTAGGTCACATTTGCTAATTAGCATTTTGATGTGATGATCGCACTATATGAGAGGTCATAAGCTCACCACAGTGGCTAGGATACATCATCTGGGAACCATGAATGTCTGTACAAAAGTATGTGCTATCTATGAAGTAGATGCTGAAATACTACACGGGATAAGTGAGAACTTTGACCTTTGTTGGTGATGCTAAAGGAAAGGTTGAGTAATCACAAAAGTCACTAGAATTCATCCTCTGGTGACCATGAAAGTCTGCACAAAATATCATGACAATCCATCCAGTAGTTGTTGAGATATTTCAGTGTTGGACTAAAGTGGTGGAATGACCAACCAACAGCCGCTAGCATGCCTAAAAATGATAAAGCATGACCTGCCTTCAGTGACAGACAAATGCTTTGACAAGACAGGAAAACGAACCTTCTCTCACATTCAGACTATTAATGCTTCA